CAATATTGTGGTGCATGGCACCAACCTATAAACACTGAACGTGCCCTGCACCGGGGTGTGACGCTTCTTCTTCTTCTTCGTTTGGTATTAGCTATTAGTCAAATTTGACTATTGTTGCCAATTTCATCGCAACTCTTTCTTTTAATGTTTTTTTTTCTTCCAATCTCATTATGATATAATAATAGTCATAGTCTATCCAGCTGTTATGTAACAAAAAGGGAATACGAATTGTCGTGGTATACATTTGGATATATTCCTGTACTAAACACAGTTTTATATTAAAACGGTCCCAAGGTGTTGTAAACTTGTTTTTAAAACAGAAAAAACATGACATTGGAAGGAAGCTGCTGATTTCACATTTCAAAACAAAATGGGCCCTTCTAAATGTGACTGGATCTGTGTTTTCCCTTTATTAAACATGCCTCCTACAATTCTAAAAGTATTTATCCCATCAAAATGAATTACTAGCAACAAACAAACAAACTAGTAATTCACGATCTGCGTATACCTTAAAGAGGATTAATTTATGTTTATTTTGATCTATGAAAGATAAGTTTATATTTATGTGAAAATCTTCATTATAAATAATGTCCCCACCCCTTTTTTTTTGCCGAGTGCGTTTATATAAAGCAACTTTTCAACTTGGTTGAAAATCCATTATTCTTCGATAGAAAGGGGGGGGGGGGGGAATCGAATTTAGAGAATGTACTTTTGACAATCAACGAAAACAAATAGCAATATATCTTTGTCTGATAGTACTATAATAGCCTTAGCCTATAATGTTATCAAAACAATATACTTTCAAAAGTGTTATATTTCCCATTATGCACTGCACTCGTGATAGGTCAAGATAATATATACACTGTTGGTCATCATCAAGGTGGATTAATTTTTGTTTACCCCAATTTATAGAATGATTTTGACAATGATTTTGACAATGATTTATTCATAATGGATATTATTGAATAATAATTTGCGAGCGTTTGTTTTGCGTGACTGCTAGATCATGTGTGTGTTATGCTTATCAACTAGGGGACCTACGTCCTTAAGTCATAACTGACAGTAATGAGGATTAATGCCTCAAAAAAGGCACTAATATAGCATATCGACACGGTTTTGATCCTGGGGCCTCAGAGTAACGAGGCAATTGCTTTGCCACTGAATCATGACTGTACGTAACGGGGCTATAGGATAGGGGCAGCCCCCACAACAACAAAAATTAAAAGATGCAATAAATTATCAATAATTTATTGCATTTTCGTTGGGTTTTTTTATTTGTAGGGGCTGCCCCCTACCCTAGCCCCCGCTGCGTATATACAGTCATGATTCAGTGACAAAGCAATGGCCTCATAACTGTGAGTCCCCAGGATCAAAACCGTGTCGATATGCTATATTATAGTGCCCTTGGCTGGTTGGTAATTTTCCGGGGGATACATTATTGTATCCTCGGGGGTGGTTGTCCTCGGGGGGAAGGGGTAATTTTCGGGAGGGGGTGGGGAAGTAATTGTCCCGCTGCTAATTGGCCGGAGGTGATTGCCAAGGGGTTGTCCTAGAACCGTCGCGACGGGCTAACGCTCCTGCATGTACTATGTTAATTATCTGGCGGCACTAATGAGTTTCCGTTATACTGTATTGCATATTTTGTTTACAGTTTCTGTGCAGTGCATTTCTCTTTTACACTTTATCAGTTTAAAGTAAGAAAATTGAAAAATGACATTCCCTGACACGTGTTACGATTGTTTCCATAATTTCGAAATAATGATCATAGATAAGACACAAAGGGCGTTGTGATTTTCTTAGTTTTGAAGAAAAAAAAATGACGAATTAGACACTGTTTGTACGCACAAGGAATGGTTCAAGGGGGGGGGGGGGGTCCCTGAAATTGAAAGTTGACATTTACCTCCCCCCCCCCCCCCCCCGGCGTATATGATACATGAATGTTTTTAAAACTATATATGACAGGGAAAAAAAGATGAATAAGACATTACATTAAAATATCTCAGTCAATAAACACATTGTGTGTGAGAAGGGGTTCTACCCCACCCCCACCCCGGTCCTTAGTGAAATTTAGAAATTTAGCATAATTTACCCACGATGAGTTATAAAATTCGGCATTTTGATCACCATATCAGATTATGCTTGTGATGGGGGTGAAGGAGCCGGAATAGAGTTTTCTTCATCGTTGAAATATTTTTTTTTCCCCGCGCAGGAGTGTTTGCTATAATAGCTACAATAACAGTTTCGTCTCTTCTGGTGGCTTATTATATACTCGTGGGGGTGGGTATACTTCGAGAGTAAAAATGGTCCTCCGTTTTGTTAACTTTACCAACAAAGCTTTGAACGTTTTCTCAAAATGAATAACGCTCTTAGAATTTGTAACGCTTGCCGACAGAAATCTAGATATAATTTTATTAAGCGTTATGCTAGAATTTATCAAGGGGACGGGGCGGGGTAGGTGGTGGTTTAAAAGTGTTAATGAAATAAAGAACACTCGTAATTTCTGGACAGGCTGAGATGACTCGCCTGGCAGGCACTTTGCTTATTTTTTCTAATCATACATAATATTTAAAGGTACTATGTCCCATTTGCAGGCCAAAAAAAATGAAAAAGTTAAATTCCAACTGCATTTGAAAGATAATACTTATTTAGAACTTCCCTAAAAAAGGTGGGGCTTGAAAATGTCTTCAAGTGGGAAAATAATGACTATTAGTTGTCAAATCGACTGTAGGGCTATAGAGCCCAAAAGTAATAGTCTTGATTTTCAGACAATATTGTACCGAATGGTCATACGTTTTATGCTGCGCAAAGATTCAATCAGTGTAATCTTGGCCATCACAAGAAGTGGGTTATTGATGTAGACAAATGCTCATGTACCCTTTACAACTCTTTTCATGTATGTTATTACCAAAGAAGAAAAAAAGCCAGTCAGTCACTCAATAGTGTCTGACAGTGAAGTCTAGCAAGTAAACGGGTTCCTTGCATAATTTGAATATGAGGACACACTAACGTTTAAATTTCACAGATAGGACATACATGACATATTCATAATTCCTGCAAAGTTCTACAGAATTTGAGGTTGGCTGCAAAAGGGACATCTTTAAACTAACTGTGTTTGCTTATAGTTATACTTCACCACTTTGCTAGGTTGCTCGTTTGCCATACACGCAATTTTTGTAATACAAACAATTGTGCATCATAACATTTTGACGGAAGTGCTGCTTTGTGCAACATTACTTAATTGCAAAATTACTCATTTCCGGTCTATATTACTATTAGCTCCATGAAAATACCCTTTTAACACCAGTATAGAATAAACTTGAAGCCTTTGGCAAGGGCGGATCTAGCTTTTTGCTAAGGGGGGGGGGGGGGAGTGACCAATAATGACGATGCGGAGCATCGTCCACGAGCCGATTTTTTTTGGGTGTTTATTTGAACCCCGTAAGTGATGTTTTCCTGGCATCTATTAACACAATGGAGACCATAAAAAGCAGTGCATGATAACGTCTTTTTAAATCAAGTAACAGTTAAATACACAGTTATATCCAGAGTTATCATGTGTTTGGTTAAGTTGAGTTGAATATCTTCTCACAATATTTGCACTTGAAAGGGTTTCTCTCCAGCGTGCGTTCTTTTTTCTTTCTTTTTTTCTTTTTTTCCCTTTTTTTTTCCCCTTTTTTTTCCCTTTTTTTTTGGGGGGGGGGGGGGCCGCCCAAGGGGGGGGGGGGGGGGGCTAAACCCCCCGTAGATCCGCGCCTGTTTGGTTAGTTTGGTATATCTATTCTGCCCATGATAACACGACGTGGCCTGTATATTATATTTGCATGAGCAACTGATACAGGGCCTTATGGGCCAGTGAATACAATCGTAAGGTCACTGCATCTTAGATTTAGACAATTTACTTTCCATCCCATTTTGCTATATTATACCGCATGACACTTTGTTTATTGCTAATTCCAATACATTCATCAAAATATGAGAGAGAGAGAGAGAGAAAGAAAGAGAGAGAGAGAGAGAGAGAGGTCTGAGAAATAGAGAGAGAGAGAGAGAGAGAGAGAGAGAAAGAGAGAGAGAGAGAGAGAGAAAGAGAGAGAGAGAGAGGTAGAGAGAGAGAGAGGGGGAAAGAGAGTGAGAGAGAGAAAAAAAGAAGAAAAAAGTGTATGTGAGAGAGAGAGAGAGAGAGAGAGAGAGAGAGAGAGAGAGAAAGACACACACAGATACACACACACACGCACACACACACAGACAGATGGAAGGAGTGATAAAGAGGGAGAACATGCACTATACGATTTATTGAATATAAGTACGCCTATATTCATGACAGCCTCCTGCAGTGATGGTGGGTATACAAGATGAGTGTATAACCCCTCACATAAAAGGCCTACCCAAATGTGCCTATACAAACATTCTAATAAAAGCCCATTTTCCTTTATATAATTGCCCCTCTCCACTTCTGAAAGTGCCCTTTTCACCTCTGATAAGTGCACCTATTCAAATGTAATTACCACATGCCCCCTTTTACTTTGACAAGTGTCCCTTTTCCTTTCTGTATATAATGATTATGGCCTACCACAATGTACCAATATTCGACCAACTAGCTGCCACCTCACCGGTCATGTAAAAAAGAGGTCTGTTTATATTCTTCTAGGGACGAAATAACAGCTTGTTATATACATACATGTACAATTATATATATATTTTTTCATTTATTCATTCATATATTTATTTATTTTATTTATTTACTTCCATTTTGGGAATACCGAAATTCATGTTTGTATGTCATGATGAATTTAGAGGATAAAACGGATTGACTCTGGGCACTGAGTAATCACAACTTTGTTTCATGTGAGGAAGTGGTGGATTGGACCGGAAGTTTCCTATCACTATCAATTAATGTGTTCCAGAGTCAAATTAATCTTTTCTCCTAATCCTCCAATTCTTGAATAGTAAATTAGACAAAGATTTAGCCAATGGCAATTAATGCGGGGGGGGGGGGGTCAGATGACACACAAAATCACAGAGTCCCTCTTAACATAATATATGGTTATTAAAGCCTAACTAAGTTCAGTGGATGAATGGCCCTTTTTTAAGCAGATGAGAAGGGGGCCATGGGCATGAGCCCCCCTATCGCGGCAGTCAGTGACCCTCAATGAACATTACATTCGCATAGTGCAGGTAGAGTAGACGGCAGTACTTCCGGGTTTTCGACCGTGCTGTTGAGGTCAAAGGTAACATACACGAACTGAGCTGACTGGATCGACCCGATCGCGAACTGCAACTGCCCTCTAATAGATTGGCAAGAATATGCACTTTCTTCTCCTGAAAAAGGAAATTGAATAGTGAGTATTGATATTTAATATTCCGGAAACGTAATTTATATTGATTTGGACTAGTCTATGCCTAAACTATATCTGTGCCTGTGCTTTTCTACTTCTAGGTCTACAAAATGTTAATGTGCATCGGTGCTGCCGGGGCGCGGGAGGCGCGTTTCCGTTTTACACCCTGCCCTAGGCTTTTCGGCAAGAAATTACACGAAACATGCTGTATCCGAAGTCTAAGTTTGTTTATATCGACGTCAAGAATAGCAAAGCCAAAGCATGCGAGGGTCTTCTTGTTCAAGACGGTTTTCCCGATATATTATTGTTTTGTTATCGCTGGGCTAAATTTTGCGAGCTGATCACGCATCCTCACGCTCTTAGAGTATTGCGTATTAATGGATAAAAATAAATGATACGACTAGGAAGATCAACTAGTATAGAGAGTTAGCTAGCGCTACGTGACGTTTTCAGAGTTCCGGTGGTGTGCAGAGCGCCGAGGCAAGATGTGGACGACTAGACTCCGCGCACCAGTCGGTTTGTAAAATTTTATTGGAGAAAAGCCTAGGGCAGGGTGTAAAACGGAAACGCGCGCGCGGGAGCGGGGCCGGGCCGCGCGTTTCCGTTTTACACCCTGCCCTAGGCTTTTCTCCAATAAAATTTTACAAACCGACTGGTATTCGGAGTCTAGTCGTCCACATCTTGCCTCGGCGCTCTGCACACCACCATTATTTTTTTCATTTATTTTTATCCATTAATACGCAATACTCTAAGAGCGTGAGGATGCGTGATCAGCTCGCAAAATTTAGCCCAGCGATAACAAAACAATAATATATCGGGAAAACCGTCTTGAACAAGAAGACCCTCGCATCCCCAATTGAAATTGTACATAAGCTTTGGCTTCGCTATTCTTGACGTCGATATAAACAAACTTAGACTTCGGATACAGCATGTTTCGTGTAATTTCTTGACGAAAAGCCTAGGGCAGGGTGTAAAACGGAAACGCGCGGCCGGGCCTGTGCTGTGCGCTAGCATGGCACTATCTGTTTATCATAATAATCATTCATGTTGACTTGTTGTAGTTGTAATTGTTGGTGTTGCTTTTATTGTTAATGTTAAGACTAGACTCTGAGTTTAACATTATTATGCTAGTAGTCCATGGGGAAAACTTTAGATGTAGTCTAGGGCCTACAAATGCAAAGTGAACTGAATGGGGGAGATCATTAAATGATTAATAAAAGAAATGTTTTGAATACTTGAAAGGATGATTGTTTGAAAGACCCTGTAATCTGATAATCTGGCTGTATGGGCTGTATGAGTTAGTCTAGGAGATAATATGAAATATGTTGATATTACCAAGCCTCAATTGACACCCATACACATGTAGATCTAGATTCTAAATCTATGAAGAGTTTTGTAATTTAAATCGTTAAACGCTGAGTTTTAAACAAGAGTTTGCATTAATGTTGGTTTTGACACAAATGCACAAAAAAGGGCAGTGTATGCGAAAATGCCTGTTTTCACGTTCCCAATTTAATACTCAACAAAAATAGCGATAAGGGTAAAAGCACACATAGGAGCATCACTATCCTGGCTGTGTAGCTAAAAGCTGTGCTTTTGATTCTCAACATTTCAAACACCACTGTACAAAATTCAACTGATTTCACTTAAAATCGGTACTTTAGTGACAACCTAAATAGCAGTAAAATACTTTTTTTTTTCACTTACTGATGTTAAAAAGAATAATTTAAAAATTCAAAGTGTAAGTCTAGTGTCAAACTTTGCTTACAGCTGCATCGACATGATTGTGTAGAGTCTATGCGATATTGTGTGGTGTGTATATTTGTGTATGGGTCTAATAATACCTGCCTCACAGCAAGCATGCGGTGCTAGAGGTCAATACGCATAAGCATTGACTCTCTGTGCTTTGCTGGAGTGGGTAAAAGGTGCCCACAAGGAGTTCGCCAAATTCAGCATACTCCAAGTGTGCGCCATAGTAGTAGTATGCTAAACTAACCACTATTGTCGTAAAGTCAGCATCAATCAATAAGTGGAAAATTATTTGTGTGGAAGCTAGAAACCAAAATGTTGACTTTCAGACACAAGCCCAGAATTACTGCTGTTGAAATTCAGGCCACAGCACAGGTGCTTTTGTTTTAGTCCTATTTTGCAATCAATCACTCTAGTCCAGACAGCAAAACTAGAAATAACTTAATAGTTTAATAAAATTTTAATAGGGTATAAGAAGAATATGTAGATTAAGCGCTTGTTCCAGAGTAATTGTATGGTTACAAATGGGTCTTAAAGATGTGAGTGATGACATTTCAACTTATAGCATATGGAACCTTCATGGGCACATGTTTTAACACACAATATTATATGGGCAGTGTGTAAATTGCAGTGTCCTATCTTAGGTTCTCTGTTGAGACACTAACCAGGAAGTGTGTAATCAATGACGTCCTTGTTCGCAAATTAAAAAATTCTTTGAAGTTCTGCTTTGTGGATTTGAGCAAGAATTGATAAGTTCAACTTCTGATCTTTGTGAAACGCTCCCCTGTATACACAAGTAATTCAACCAAATCTGGTGTCAGCACAGGTGCAATGTACATGGACAGTGACCTCTATGTGGTCTTATAATTGTTTTCTTTTAGCTGACATGTTGTAATTGATATTGATGTTGTTTTGTTTTGTTAGGATGGATCTTCCTGAGGCTATAGAGATGGAGGATATGGAGATCCCTCCTCCTGATGCCCCTCCGTACACAAACAATCTCCACACACAGAAGGCGTTTGAGGTGCTTAACGTCTTCAGAAAGTAAGTACATCGGATGAGATGATATTCCTTTGCTGTTGTTGTGCTGTAGCTCGGAAGGCCTACCAGGTGAAGCGTTTCGAGCTTGACATTTTCCAGGCCGAACTGTAGCCAGAATTTGGTCAACCTGGTAACAAAACCCAGTCGTAAAAATAAGTTTTGAAATAGCTCATTGTTCGTCATCTACTTATCTTTCATCATGATAAAACCATCAAAGTGACTGTAAACACACACATCACAATTGCTGTTGTTGTTATTATTATGTCTTTTTTGTTGTTCTCCATTTGTATTGTCCATTTAGACAAAATATTCTATGTGATGTGATTCTGGAGGCAGAGGGTGTAGAGATCCCGGCGCATCGTATCGTGCTAGCCTCCTGCAGCCAGTATTTCTCGGCCATGTTTACCAGTGAATTGTCCGAGAGTCGAGCGGAGAAGATTATTCTCCAGGAGGTGGATGGCAGAGCTCTTTCATTACTCATCGATTTTGTCTACACCTCAGAAGTTCAGGTGACTGAGGAAAATGTTCAGGTCAGTGTCTGTTGCTCCTTGGTTTCTAAAAGTATCTTTTATACCATAGCCAAGTTATATTAGTTTTGTTATAATAAGCCAGTTCATGGTTGCAGTCTGAGCATGAGCAGATAAAGGTCATTGCAGACCAAATTGTGAAATACAGGGAGGAAAAATACTGGATACGTGCTCATGAAAGTTTGGTAATCATTATTCATTTATGCACAAGCAGTGCACTCCATGATACACCTCCATCACTGTAGGAGTGATTTTTTTCAAAATATACAAAGTGGGACCTCTTCATGTTTTGAATATCTGTTGATATTCGGGGTCATTTGGGACATGTGCTAACCATGAACTGGTCTATTGCAAGGTAATGAACTGTTCTTTTGTCTCATGTTGACATTTTGCAATTATGGCATAAAAGTAGATTATAGGCACATTCAGATATAACGCCGCAAAACCGCTTCGTTTTTTTATGATGACATAGATTGTCATATGCGTCACATATATGTATAAATAGCACAGAGCTGAGTGAATATGTGCAATTCCTTTGTCCAATGCCATTCATTTAAACATAACAAAAAACATGGCAGCTTTTATGTAGCGGTATACCGTGCCATATCTGAACAAGCCTAAAATGTGGAAGATAGTATGTCCGAATCATGAATATGGATTTTTCATATTGTTTTGACTTATTCTGTCCTTTATAAAATCATTTGTGTGCCCTTCATCAATGTTTTGTTGAGCATAGTTGATGACAAAGTATTTTCAGTATGACTTGTGAAAAGCAGCGAAGTAATCACTGAATGCAATATTTTGTTTTCTTCTCCCAATTCCTGCAATTTTTTACAGGTGAGTTCTGTAAATACACAGAGAAAAATTAGCCTGTAGTACACTAAACAAAAGCTGAAATTTAATTATAAAGAATATTTTGATTAACTTTTAAAAAAAAATGTAGGTAATTTGAAATGGATGAAATTATCATGTTTTTGTTTTGTATTGATACCGTAGACCCTCCTACCTGCTGCCAGTTTATTACAGCTGAATGACGTCAGAGATGCATGCTGTGATTTCCTGCAAAAACAACTTCATCCTACCAACTGTCTTGGTATAAGAGCATTTGCTGACGTACACTCGTGTAGCGAACTCTACCACTATGGTCAGAATTATACCATGCAACACTTCAGGTATGCTCTTGTTACAATGAGGTTAAAGCTAATCTTGAGCTCTGGTCCCTGTCTTACAAAGAGTTACGATTTATCCAAATCAATCGTAAGTCCTCCAATCAATCGCAAGTTTGCAGTCTCCTATGTACATAGTTGCGATTGTTGCGATTGATATCAACTCTTTCTAAGTCGGGACTCTGGTGTAGGAATAGTGTGTTGAAAGCACATGGCTATAATTCATTCTGGTTTGTTTATCCTGCAGTAGATTGATAGTTTGACCCAGTAAAATAAAAATAAACTCACCAAAAATTGCTGGAAATCACTGGAATTCAATAAAAACCACAACTCCCATTTTCACATAGTGACCTACTTATGTTGTTTTTTGTTTTTTTGTGTGTGTGTTATCAGCTTTTCATTCTTTTGGAGAATATTTACGCCTTTCAATTTTTATTTTCTTATCTTTCTATGCTCATTACTCAGCCCCTATACATTTTCTACCAAAATCATTTGGCACATGACAACTATTTGTAATCTTGAACATTCAGTGTAGGTTTTTTTGGATCCTGTGAGAATTAATTTCCTATCATTACCAGAACTCAAACTTTTCTTTAAATTGATACAGGAAGAACCATGATTATGATATCACTTTCAATAGAATTATACAAGTTTTTGCATGCTCCGGCATTCATTACAACAACATATATGAAATGACTATAAGAATTTACTCTCACTAAGATCACAGTAGCTATTGGTATGCCCACAGTTCTGACCAATCAAAGGTCTAGAACCTACATGTAAATGAGATATTTATAAAATATCAGTTGTAAGCATTCCACTTGGAGTGTGCGACTGGTCTGAGTTCAACTTTGCTTTAGATCTTTCTGTAACTGCAATTCCATATGATATTAAATGACTATATTTTAATTGTAAGGTATGCGGTGTTTATTAAGCTAAAGGAAACGACCATGACTGATTATTTACCTTGTATTCTGATCTAGTGCTGTTGTCCATAGCGATGAGTTCTTTGCTCTGCCAGCTGCTCAAGTCTGTGAACTAATTAGTAGTGATCACCTGACGGTCCATTCAGAAGAAGAGGTAAGTGATCACATGATAGCAGATTGATCACCTGATATCATATTTGAGTTGATAAGAATTGATCACCCTTTATTTCATGCAAATTTTAAATCCATATTAATAATTTTTTAATTACTGCAGTTACAATTAATTTTTTAAGCAGATTACTGTGCAATCACTTATTCTCCTTACCAATGAACCTGGGAATGCCAATTTTATCTGCCTTTAGTGTTAGTTTATTTCTAGATTTTATTTTTTTATAGATTTGTTATACCTTTATTAATTTGATTAAGCATCAATTATGTTGCAAATACTTACGGGGTATCTATGTTGGCATATAACTCTCTTTACTGTCAATTGAATTGTAAGCATGGAAATGACATTATACGCATGTTGATGGTACAGTCAAACCTGCTTTAGCAACCACCTGTCTATAAAGACCACATTTTCTGTTTCCTTCAGAACGGCTTCTCATTGAAACATGTACTATAGAAACCTGTACATAAAAGACCACCTGCCTATAAAGACCACTTTTCTTGTCTCATTTGAGTGGTCTTTATAAACAGGTTTCACTTTAATGTTGGAAACATGAATAAATTTGAAATTTGAAATTTGAATTTAATTGTTTTTGTATCAGGTATTTGAAGCCGTAGTGTCGTGGGTGAAGCAGGATCCTAGTAACCGTAGCGATTACATGCCGCAGCTTGTTGAACATGTCAGACTGCCTCTCCTTTCACGGGACTATCTCATCCAAAGAGTGGAGGAGGAACAGCTCATTAAAGGTATCTCATCGACCGGTAAATTATAAAGCAGCCATTACAAAAACTTCAGGTTTTACCAATATCTGCATGGGCCCTGTCTTATAAACAGTTGCGATTAATCGCAGCTCATTAAAGGTATCTCAACTACCGGTAATTTATGAAGCAGCCAATAAAATAACTTCAGTTTTTTAACCAATATCTGGGCCCTGTCTTAAAAACAGTTGCGATTAATCGCAGCTCATTAAAGGTATCTCTTCTACCGGTAATTTATGAAGCAGCCATTACAAAAATCTTCGGGTTTTTCCCAATATCTGCATGTGCCCTGTCTTATAAATAGTTGCGATTAATTGCAGCTCATTAAAGGTATCTCATCGACCGGTAAATTATAAAGCAGCCATTACAAAAACTTCAGGTTTTACCAATATCTGCATGGGCCCTGTCTTATAAACAGTTGCGATTAATCGCAGCTCATTAAAGGTATCTCAACTACCGGTAATTTATGAAGCAGCCAATAAAATAACTTCAGTTTTTTAACCAATATCTGGGCCCTGTCTTAAAAACAGTTGCGATTAATCGCAGCTCATTAAAGGTATCTCTTCTACCGGTAATTTATGAAGCAGCCATTACAAAAATCTTCGGGTTTTTCCCAATATCTGCATGTGCCCTGTCTTATAAACAGTTGCGATTAATTGCAGCTCATTAAAGCTATCTCATCTACCAGTAATTTATGAAGCAGCCATTAATAAAACTTCAGTTTTTAACCAATATCTGGGCCCTGTCTTAAAAACAGTTGCGATTAATCGCAGCTCATTAAAGGTATCTCTTCTACCATTAATTTATGAAGTAGCCATTACAAAAACTTCGGGTTTTCCCCAATATCTGCATGGGCCCTGTCTTATAAACAGTTGCGATTAATCGCAGCTCATTAAAGGTATCTCATCTACAGGTAATCTATGAAGCAGCCATCAATAAAGCTTCAGGTTATATCATATTTTGGCCCTGTCTTATAAACAGTTGCAATTAATCGCAGCTCATTAAAGGTATCTCATCTACCAGTAATTTATGAAGCAGCCATTAATAAAAATTCAGTTTTTTAACCAATATCTGGGCCCTGTCTTAAAAACAGTTGCGATTAATTGCAGCTCATTAAAGGTATCTCAACTACCGGTAATTTATGAAGCAGCCATTAAAATAACTTTGGATTTCCTAATATCTGGCCCTGTCTTATAAACAGTTGCGATTAATTGAAACTTATTTGCAGCTGATATCAGTCACAACCATGTACTTACGAGATAGGAGACTGCAAACTTGTGATTGATTGGAGGACTTGCGATTGATTTGGATCAATCATGACTCTTTATAAGATAGGGCCCAGGTCTTCTGAAGACAGTGCATGGTCAAAGTTACAACTCGTACTGATTTCTGGTCTTCTAAACACAATGCAATTGCAGAGGAATACAACTGTTCATGATTTCTGGTCATCTAAATGCAATAAATTACAGAGACATAAAAATTGTACTCATTTCTTTTCATCTAAACGTAATGCTTTGCATATTAAGATGGGGGACTGCAAACATGTGATGAATTAGAGGACATGCGATTGATTTGGATCAATCGCAACTCTTTATAAAACAGGACCCAAGTCTTTGATTCTAAAGACAGTTCATGGTTAAAGCTACAACTTAAACTAATTTATGCTCTTTCTGAAATAATGCATTGTAGAGGCATACAACTTTTAATGATTTCTGGTCATCTAAATGCAATAAATTATAGAGACATAGAAATTTTACTTATTTCTGGTCATCCAAATGTAATGCATTGTGGAGGCATACAACTTTTAGTAGTTTAGTATTAGACTATGATTTTATATCCTGAACATAGCTAGTTTTACGAAGAGAATATATAAAAAAGCATGAAGAGAATATATGAAAAGCTCAATTTTTTTTCAGAAGACGTTCTTGAGACAAACAAACAGGTTGGAAAGGTCTTATCTCGCGGGAGAGTTAAAGATAAACTTGAGTTCTGGTAATGCGATTGCATTGTGAAAGAAAAGGTGTGGAATGGATCAGAAAAGTTGATCATATAGCATGTAAGTAATGGTGTGTAATGCAAGGTTCTGGAGTCATCAAAATCATCATAAATTTGGCAGAGTCTTGGTAAAGTAACAATCACTTACACAGAAAGATTTATATGGGACAACACACATGGTGTTGGGGCTAGTACTACCCTGATTTCCTTATCTTTCAATGCTCATTTACTCAGCCAGTATACATTTCCTTCCAAAATTGTTTGGCACATGACATTTATTTGTAATCTTGAACGTTCAGTGTAAGTTTTGTTAGATTCTGTGAGAATTAATTTTCTTTTTTTACCAGAACTCAAGTTTATCTTTAATGAATCATTTTATTTTCTTCCTAGGCAACAGTGATTGTAAAGACTTCCTGATAGAGGCCATGAAATACCATCTATTACCCAAAGAGCAGAGAGGTACAATGAAGAACCCTCGAACCAGATTACGCACCCCTATTGGACTACCAAAGGTGAGAACAAATATACTTTTAACCCGTTAACTTCTGAATTTTTTCATTCCCATAGACTTTACACAGCGACCACCCGGTTCCAGGAGACAATGGGTTAAAATAAGTTTTTTTTTTTTTTTTTTTTTTACCTCTAGCAGTTTTCTTATTTTCTAAATTAATTGATTTTCTCTCCTCAAATTGGCAACATTTTATCTTTTTTTTCCACTCCTTCATAGTTTAAAGAAAGTAAAAATGTTTATTTGATGAACCAATGTGATAGGAAATTGCAATATTGAACCAAAAATTTGCCAACATATACCAGTACATATATTTTTTTAAATTTTACACCATATTGCCAATTTAGGGATTTAAGTAATAATTGCAATTAAAATCAAATTAGTTTCACCACCAAGAGGTTATGATATTTAAGCCAATCATCAGGTATTTATGTATTTATTATCCTAATGTTTAAATTTCTTTGTGAGTGCTAAATACTGCTGTGAGAAAATAAAAAATCCCAATCTGCATATATATTCCAGTGATCGTATTAAACTATTTTGTTTGTTGATATAGTTAATGCTGGTAGTCGGTGGACAAGCCCCCAAAGCTATTCGCAGTGTTGAAGTCTATGATTTCAAGGAGGAGACCTGGACGCAAGCAGCTGAGATGCCATCAAGAAGATGTAGAGCAGGTCAGTGCATTTAAAGATAAATACTAGCCCCTCCCTCCCCCCCCCCCCACCATGTTTCATAATATTTCTTGGATTTTAATTGACAAGTAGTAAGCAATAAACTATTCTGCTATAAATACAGTAGGTCTTTTTAAAGCCTTCAGTAAAGTGATCAGCAAATGAGACATGATAGAGATCACCGGTTGTGACAAAACACTGCCTTCCGTTCCTCTTTCTTTGTAACTTGTCGTACCTTAAAATAGAGCATTTCCTGTAAGCAGCCTAGTTTTAATAATCCAATTTCCTTTGGGACTTCTGCCTTTACTGTACACAAACTTTCAATTTAATATTTTTATGCCTCCGTTACGAAGTAGCCGGAGGCATTATGTTTTCGGGTTGTCCGTCCGTCCGTACGTCTGTATGTCTGTACGTCCGTACGTCCCGTTCTCGTGATCGCGTTATCTGAAAAACCGACAGATGGATTCCTGCCAAACTTTGGTCATGTATGTATCTTGCAGAGCCAATGAACTGATTAGATTTTGGGGTCACGAGGTCAAAGGTCAAAGGTCACATGGCTCATGTATGCAAAAACAGCTCCTAATCGCGTTATCTGAAGAACCGATTGATGGATTCCTGCCAAACTTTGGTCATGTATGTATCTTGCAGAGCCGATGAACTGATTAGATTTTGGGGTCATGAGGTCAAAGGTCAAATGTCACAGGGCTCATTATGTATTAAAAAACAGCTTGTGATCACATTATCATTAGAACAGATTGATGGATTCCTGCCAAACTTAGATCATGTATGTATCTTGCAGAGCCAATGAATTGAGTAGATTCTTGGGTCAAGAGCTCAAAGGTCATGGGCTCATTATGTATGCAAAAATAGCTTGTGAACGCATTCTCATTAGAACTGACAGATGGATTACTATTTACCTCGGGACATCTTGCAGAGCAAATGAACTGAGTAGATTTTAGGGTCATGAGGTCAAAGATCAAAGGGTCATATATGTATATGAGAAATTGCTTGTAATCAGGATATTCTGAGAACCTGTTAATGGATTACAATTGAACTTGAATTTGAAAAATTTCTTCTGTTTTGTTTGTAAAATTGCTCTATGACGGAGGCATCATTTTCGAGTGCGCGCAGTCGAAGTTCCATCTAGTTTTTAAACTTAATCATTTTATTCAAAATCGTCTACGGACTTGTCACATGTACCTATAATCAAAACTGATGTACCATAACTCTTAGAAAAGATTATTTCTTTACATCATTGCATAGAGTAAAACCTGTTTATAAAGACTGTGCAAAGGAAACAAGAAAAGTGGTCTTTATAGGCAGGTGGTCTTTGTTAACAGGTTCCTTGAGTACATGGTTCATTGAGATACAAAAATATAAAGTCTTTATAGACTGATGGTCTTTCTAAACAGGGCCGGTATAAATAAAGTTCGACTGAACAATGATTGATTGCATTTTCTTGCAGGGGTTGCTGTTTTAAATGGCATGGTGTATGCTGTTGGCGGTTTCAATGGATCTCTGAGGGTGAGAACAGTAGACGTTTACGATCCTGTCCGGAACATGTGGTCTTCAGTGGCATCTATGGAAGCGAGGCGGAGTACGTTAGGCGTAGCAGTCTTGAATGGCATGATCTATGCAGTAGGCGGATTTGACGGCACCACTGGTAAATATATCAAGGAATCACTGCCATGGGGCCCTCTTCATCATCTCCTCCCCTCTCCTCCTCTTCCCCCTCCTCCTCCTCTTCCCCTCCTCCTCTTCCCCTCCTCCTCCTCCCTCTCCTCCTCCTCCCTCTCCTCCTCCTCCCTCTCCTCCTCCTCCCTCTCCTCCTCCTCCCTCTCCTCCTCCTCATTTGCCTCCTCCTTCTCCTCCTCCTCCTCCTGTCCCCTCCTACTCCTTCTCCTCCCTCCTCCTCCTCCCTCCTCCTCCTCCCTCCTCCCTCCTCCTTCTCTTCCTCCCTCTCCTCCTCCTCCTCCTCCTCCCTCTCCTCCTCCTCCTCCTCCTTCTCCTCCTCCTCCTCCCTCCTCCTCCTCCCTCTCCTCCTCCTCCCTCTCCTCCTCCTCCCTCTCCTCCTCATTTGCCTCCTCCTTCCCTCCCCCTCCTCCTGTCCCCTCCTACTCCTCCTCCTCCCTCCTCCTCCTCCCTCCTCCCTCCTCCTTCTCCTCCTCCCTCTCCTCCTCCTCCTCCTCCTCTTCCTCCTCCTCCATCTCCTCCTCCTCATTTGCCTCCTCCTTTCCTCCCCCTCCTCCTTCTCCTCCTCCCTCTCCTCCTCCTCCTCCTCCTCCTCCTCCTCTTCCTCCTCCTCCCTCTCCTCCTCCTCCTCCTCCTCCTCTTCCTCCTCCTCCCTCTCCTCCTCCTCATCCTCCTCCTCATTTGCCTCCTCCTTCCTTCCCCTCCTCCTGTCCCCTCCTACTCCTCCTCCTCCCCCTCCTCCTCCTCCTCCTCCTCCTCCTCCTCCTCCTCCTCCTCCTCCGTCCTCTCTCCTCCCTCCTCCCTCTTCTTCCTCCTCCTCCTCCTCCATCTCCTCTTCCTCCTCCCCCTCCCCTAACATCTTTTCATCCAGAATGCTTTAAATTACACAAATGTACATAAGCAAAAAGTGCAAAAATCACTTGGAAATTTGAGTCCATGAATAAGAATGGCTTGTCAAATAATCATTGAAGTCTTTAAATTGTCAATTCACAGTGAAGTTTGTAATCACTATTTTTGTATACAAATTGCAATTTCTTGTTGATTTTTTGCAGTTTTCATTCTATGTTTCTGTTTCATTTGCAATTTTTTTTAAACTATGAAAAAGTGAAAAGTACAAATAATTGTTGCCAATTTGAGGAGGAAAGTCTGATTTATTGTGACCTTTTTAAAACTCTAAATAGACATGGGCTAATAATTTGTATTACTCGTTTCAGGATTGAGCAGTGTAGAGGCATACGATCCCAAGATGAATGAATGGAGACCGGTAGCACAGATGAACACAAGACGGAGTAGTGTCGGAGTGGCTGTCCTCAATGGTATGTTCTTTAGCATAACATTATTAGTACAGTCAGTAGTACTGTCTACAAAGACCACATATTTTGTTTCCCTTGAAAATGATTTCTCATTGTAATATGTTCCAGAGGAACCTGTTTGGGTATTCTTGTAGTAAAGGTTCGGAATAGAACTGTTTCTTTGAAGAAAGAATGGTCTTGACATTTCAAACCACATGCTCCTTTCTTCGTCAGGAGTATTCTGTGATACTTTTAACCTTTCAGGGAATCTAAACATGAAAATTTTCTCTTGAAACTTGTATTTTTTGTAAATTGCACAATGATATTCAAAGGCATTGTTTAACAATGTTTTACAAATCTGAGATGCATGGCCCTACGTGTTATCAGTGTCTGTGATATGGTGTAATATTGAAGCTCTAAAAAAATTGCACCTCAAAATGATCATAAAGTGACTCAAAAAATTTAAAATCTTTGAGTGACCAGTTTTACCATTCTCATTTTCCCTAATAGACTCATGTGTTATAAAAACCATTGAGAAAACGTTTTTTTTAATTTCTATTTCTAATCATAAATTTCTTGATAATCAGACAGGCGATCTGCTAAATCCAGGATTTTGTTTAGAATCTGAGGCAAAGATACCCAATCCCTTTAATAAATGTCATTCAATATTTTTATTTTGTTTGTACAGGTTTTCTGTATGCTGTAGGGGGCTATGATGGGGCCTCAAGACATTGTCTAAGCTCAGTAGAAAGATACGACCCTGCTGATAATAAATGGTCTACTGTGGCTGAGATGAGTACAAGGAGGAGTGGAGCAGGTAAACTATAGTGTCACTTCTTTTTCCTGTTTTTATTGTTTAAAAAAACAATGGTTGACTATAATTAGAAACAAGATAGAACGTTATGCGCAGTTGGCTTTCAATAATACATGTTATAATAAATGAAAAAGCCACGGTTCTTTACTTTATATCTGAATAAGCCTTTACTGTTTTCCAGCCACTCCTGTCATGGATTTTTATTACCAAAAGTTAATTCCATTATCATCTCTTCCTTTCTTTCCCTTTCCTTCATATATTCTTTCTCTATATGCTCTATAAGCTGGTTCTTTAGACGAAAGAACATACCAACATCCTTTTCAGTAATGCTACTACATGATGTTACCGAAAGCCTCCATTTGTGATTGTACTCTTATTATCAAGGATGCAAGTTTTCAGGCAGAAGCCTAAATTCAGGCCATAGTTAAGGCTTTTTTATGTACAAAATAGCTCATTCTAGGTGATTTTCAGGCCCTCTGATCGATTCTTACTGACATCCCTGTATTGTGTTTGTGCCTGTAGGCGTTGGTGTCGTAGATGGCTTACTGTATGCAGTAGGAGGCCATGATGGTCCTATGGTTAGAAAGAGTGTCGAGGTATACAACCCAGACTCAGATAGATGGTCACAGGTAGCCGACATGACACTCTGTAGGAGGAATGCAGGTATGATACGTTCTTTATTTTGAAATAATTGGTAGTTATCAAATGATAATTGCTTGGACTGACAAAGTTAGTAATGAGGAAGTTCTTAGAAGAGCTGGACTGCACAGGAAAATGATAAGTGAGATGTTGATTAGGCAGTTGAAGGTCATGGGTCACATTACACGTAAAGAAGGCCTAGAGAATCTTGCTTTGACAGGGAAAATTGTGGAAAGGAAGAGTAGGGAAAGAAGGAGGATACTTTAGATATACAGTCTGCAGAAATTGTTAGAAGAAAGAGGAGGGAAAGAACTGGGAGTGGTTCTAATACCGACATTGCTACCACTGCTGTAAAGTATTTACAGTTGCGCCATCTTTCGGGGAAGGTGTATGTAGAGCGATATCCTGTACCCTAGCATCATCATGTGCGTCATGCGTTTGGTGATGCATTGTGGGACATGGCTATCGACATGTCGGGACATTGTGAGCAGCAGATGGCAGTATACGTAAATCTGAAGTAGTGTCTGAATTCCTTGCCTTTAAACTATATGCCTTGTCGTTCATTATCATTTATATAAAAACTCCTTGTTTTTCCCCAATGTCTTCTCTTAAAGAGAGATATGAAGTCATTAACCCTTTAGCAACTAAGCCACGCGAAACCGCCCCTCCTTTTACTCGCTGGACCATCCGAATCAGCCCGTCCTTCTTTTTTTTTTCATCGTGCTGTAGTATCCGTTCTATGGGGTCTACCGTGATAATGTTATATGTGCGTAATCCTTACGATGTCTCCAGTAGGATTCTGCATAGAAAAATAGTGCATGTTTCATATTGTTCAGAACAATTTCAAAATGAGAGCAATATTGCAACATCTTCCAGTGAGTAATAGGCCAATTTTTACAAGTTTATTATTATTATCATTACTGTTATCATTATTATTGTTTATGTTTATATCTTATTGTTTTTGTAGGTGTAGCATCGGTGAATGGACTCCTGTACGTAGTGGGCGGAGACGATGGAACGTCAAATCTTGCCTCGGTGGAATGCTTTAACCCAAGAACTGATAATTGGTCGCTTGTTCGCACGACCATGACAACGGGTCGCAGTTATTCGGGAATAGCGACCATTGACAAGGTCCCATCGCTGAACGCTTACCGGGAAGCGAACTCGTTACAATGGGATCCCGAGAGCATGAAGACGGAGGGAGCTTATGCACAGCTGCCCAACCCGTGATAAGGTGCTCGCGTTGGATTAGTCGATGACATGAAAGGGCGCGACAGAAGCAGAGCTGAATCGCCGGAAGGATGCTTTTGAACACTGTGTGGCGTAGAGTGCGTGGACGTGATTTGAGCTTCAGTTCTATGTGCATGTTAATAATTTTCATGCTTTATAGTGACTCGCGAGCAATCAATCAGCTTGAAAGAATTCTTCATGGACTTTTATTTATCTGGTTGATGACGACAAGTATTCGAGTGTATATTCAACCGTTATTTTCAACTCTGGATGGTAGTGCAATGGGCTGAATAGGTATCTCGCTTCACGGTTTATTGAATAGAGGAATCGGTAGAAACATCTACTTTTCTTCATGCCACATAAAGTGGAGCTCTCAATCATATATTTAAAAGAGAAACCGTACCTGTGATCCTTTCTCTGTGGGTTTATATGCAATTAGTAGTATTCAGTTTGTCCTTGATGTTGAGTTTGGAGTCGTGAGTGGTTAAAAGGCTACAATTTGTTCTCAACATTCAAATGGAAGAAACACACTGCTTTGTCGTTTTTTAACGGAAGTTTTGTAAAAAGTATTTATTGACCTTATTTCAGCAATGTGTGTTAAATGTGATCTAATGCAGATCTTTTCAGCAATGTATGATAACTGTTTGTGAACGAAGAACCACTGAATATATATTGTTTGTATGCAAAACTGGATCATGTGACCAAAAAAATACTTCTCCATTTCCAAGTTTATGAGATGCTCATGAGCTGAGTATTCTTAAAGGGATTGGGTATCTTTGTCTCAGATTCTTAAACAAAATCCCGGATTTAGCTCATGCTGCAATCATAAGTATAAACCTTTAGGTCAGTCAGGAATCCCATGACTTTTACAAGCCGATCGCCTGTCTGATTATCAAGATATTTATGGTTGGAATTTGAGATTTCCGAACTGTTTTTGTAACACTACAGTCTATGGGGGAAAATGAGTATGGTAAAACGGGTCACTCAAAGAATTTTACTTTTTTGAGGCACTTCATGATCATTTTTAAGCACAATTTTTGTAGGGCTTCAATATTACACCATATCAAAGACAGCTCTAGCTCTGACGGAGCACAACATGAAAGAATTGAAATCCTGGCAGTCATTTGTATTTGAAATGACAAGGAGGATGAGAAGTAAAGGCTTTTATTTATAAAGCTGTTGTTGGTACATTATGAAAGCTCTAGGAGGATAAGATTGTATATGGCTACAAATAGGGCCGACCCCCCCCCCCCCTTTTTTTTTTCTGGTGCTATTTAAAAAAAAAAAGCATATTAGCAGTTTATAGAGTAAACATTCATGTTATCCCTTTATTCTAAAATAAAAAGCCCATTCACTTGGCATTTCAAAATCAAATTCAAATATCAAGATCAGAATCAACTTGATAGCTTGCTCCCAAGTCTTTGTTGTATGGACAAAATGGGATTTTTCTAATTGGAAGAACCTTAAATGTTTAATTTAATACTTACTATAAATGTCAAATACTGACAAAGATGATGACAGATGTGTGTTGAGCAAATGCAAGAGTAGTAAAACTTCAAGAATTTCCTAAACTTTACATCTATGGAATATGTATTACATTCCCCCTGCACATTGCTTTAATTGATATATTAGGTGATTTTAAGTTGAATGTTTAGGGCTGGTGTTAGTGTTTAATAAACACTAACACCAGCCCTAAACACTGAAATAGAAATTGGCTGGTGTTAAGGCTTTGACCTCTGAATATCGTCAACTTCCGGTAGCTACCGGTGTTATCGATTTTGCAAAATTGTCGTCTGCTGAACCGACCTTTGTGGCTGGTGTTAATATTTTACGTACAAATGTCCTATACACTAACACGAGCCCCTAGGGATTAAGCAAATGTTGATTTACAGTTCGGTGTTAGTGTTAGCTACCGATATGGATGTCAATATCGGGCTCTTAATTTCACCAGCAAATTTTTTTAGCTTGATTTACAAGCTCTTGACTGCTCTAAACACTTAACACTAACACCCAACTTGAAACCACTCATTGTATGTTTGGAGCCAGAAGGGCATTAAAGGGAAAACCATCCTTAGAAGTAGACCAAAGCAGAAAAATCAGAGAAGCAGATTGGTGACAGTTTGAACGATACGTATGGGCACTTTAAATTGGCTGAATCGGCAGTGTCACTTTAAGTACAACTTTCCCATTTGTTCCAACACACAAAATAACTAAAATGCCAATTATTCAAAATGAACGACTCAGAAAGGTCTTTTCATTCTAGAGCACCTTTAATATCTGCTCCCCACAATATATATATATATAAACATGCCCCAAGGAAGAAGGAACTTGTTTATGATACTCGTGTACTCAACAAACATTCTCAATCTACTGACCAAATGACCAAGTTGTCAATTTGCGATTCGCATAGATTTAGTGATTTCATATTTGAAACACTTGTAACTTTCTTATTATCGGTCCAATTTATTTCAAAACTTTCGCCATTATGTTTCTCTTTTTTATTCCGCTTTCAAATAAATGAATTATTACAAAGGTTGGATTGCCCTTTAACTCCTAAAGTTTAACACACATTAAATGACCTTCTGGCTCCGAACAGACAATATTGTACCAGGGGGGTGTTTCACAAAGATCCTAAGTTGAACTTATCTCTAAGTTGGACTTCAAAATTATGGAAAGGCCGTTAGCATCTTTGAAAATATTTTGTAAAAGTTATTTTGAAAGGCATAAAATGTTGATTCAAGTCATTCATACTTCCTATCATCAAGGAGATTTCATGTTCTGGATGTGGAATTTATAAAAAGTCTGAAATACTTGAATTTCTGCTTTTGAATATATTTTATTTTAAGGCTCAAATGGCTGTCCATAATTTTTGAGTCCAACTTAGTGTTAAGTTCTACTTAGGATCTTTGTGAAACAACCCCCCCCCCCCCCCCTGGAGTTAGTCTAGTAGGAAAAAAACCTATAAGAGTAAATCTTTCTAATTCTAAATGATGTGTAACTTGCCAATCATTGTTATTACATGATGATTATGTTAATGAGTCGGATCACACAAGTGTTTAGACCATGCAATAAATATGTGCTATGTTGAGCTTCAATTATTATTGTAAGATATTGATAACTGTTGATTAAAAGCATTTGGTAACATTGTCACCAATAAATGTCTTTGTCATTAGTTGATTTGTGCATTACCGTAATTAATCTATTTTGTAAGCTAGGAAGAGCAAATAAATGTTTGGATAGGGTCAAGAAACAAACGTCATCAAAAGGAAAAAGACAGAAAGAGTTTGTTCGGACACTCGTATTATTCTAGCAATTTCCTGGTATAAACGGCTGGCATAAGCCTAATTTACTGTTACATTTTACAGCCAATCAGCGCTCGTTATATTCGCGCCTTGTTCCTTTTAGTTTCCGTTTATATTGATCGATTTCTGCTTTCTGTTTCATTCTTGCGTTTTACTCTGAGTGCAAGTCAAAAAATATAAGTTATGGCTCTCTTCAACGCTATTCTCAAAAAGAAATATATGAAACATACAAGTTTTCAATATTGTCCATCAATTCATAATTCATAGACATAAGTTACCAGTATCGTGAATCGATTTTCCACACTTCCTATACTCAGTGTTGGCCCACACATAGGCATCTCTGTGCTGTTTGAGAGACACATAAAGTAATCATTTCTTAATGATGAATTCAGGCCGTTTTTTTTTTAATTAGCAGTAAATCCGTCAAAGATCGTTCTTTTTCAAACAATTCAGACCATGTAGATTTAAAAATCATGAAATCAGCAATATTCTAAATGACCATATTTTTTTTATATCATGATAAAACAGTTTCCAAACGTAGTCGCTTTGCTTGAAGGCCATGAACTTTCTATAAAGAAATGTATACAGTCCACAAAATTGAATCATTTGATCTCTTGCAACTCTCTCAAGTCCTTAACCACACAAGAAATGATACACACATTAAAACCAGGAATTCTTTATACATCCATAGTTTAATCCCAAATGAATCAAAAATATGGGCAGCAATAATTGGCAAATAATTTTTTTTTTTAAATCAGCACACTTTAAATAAAACATAATTTAAAATGATCAAAATATCATTGATCTGGGAGCCTGTCTTGAAATAGTTACCTAGTTCTATCCATACAATTTGACCCCTCAAAGTTACTAACCATCTAACTCAATGACAAAAAGGATGGTCAGTCTGACCGTAGCTACCGGGTTTGGCCCCCAGAGCCCCCAAAATGAACCCTAAAGGTCAGGTCGATTTGACCCCACCTAGCCCATGCACCAAACTTTGCCAGTAGGAAGTATATAGTATGACTGGACATTATAAAATGCAAAAAAATAAATTGACAACAAAATCTGTCAAAGTAACTTAAATCTTATGGATAAGAAGAGCGACTACTTCAGCACAAGCTCCAGACCAATATGGTTTCCCCGCTTTTCCCAAAGATTGTCTAGATTACATATTCATAGGGAACTCTACAAAGGAAGCAGAAAGCAGAAAACCAACAGAGGATAAAGGATTCACAAAGGAAGAAATGTAAGTAACATGAATAAAGCAAACATAACCTATTAAATATCAAATTATACGGGAGAATATGGACTTACAAGAACCACTCATTCTTAATAGAGTGGTCATGTTACAAGTCAAACCCCCAAAATATTTCAGACTGGCTACAAACATCATACATTAACATTGCAGCAAAACTTTTATGGCACTAAAGAAATAAATATATCATCTGTCACACTATAGTCGATTCTCCTACGGAGCAACATCCTATTTCTTAAAATCAATACTTAAATTGATATACAGTTGTATTTTTTAAATGATTGTCATTTTGCTTAATTTCATTTTCACATTACTGACAATACGGAACATAATAAACCCCAGAAAAGAAACAAAGAGTGACACATTACATATTTCTCATCCATTAATTGCTTATTTCTGCATTCGGCAGAATATAATATTTCTACTTCATGATGTTATACTAACGTTTCATTATATACCCTTTAACTTTACAGCCACCATGATCACAAAAGAAATTTCATTCCTTTCTATTTCCAGGCATGTTTCAATCCTAAAATCAAGGTTGCAAATATCACATAAATTATGAGATTAAAAGAAATGCACAATTTCAGCTTCACACTACAACTTCACTTTTGATAAAAATGGCAAGAGAATTAAAAACAAATGTAAGAAAGATAAAGTGTTGATGCATCTGTTCGCTCCAGATTTTCATGAGTGTTAAAAATCTACCCCCATCACATTTTGTGTGGGGAAACTATCAAAAATATATTTTTTTTTTTTAAACGAAAAAAACATTTTAAAAAAAATCCATGAGATTTCAAAAATCAATTTAACTTGGACTCAACATACTCGGACTGAGAGGGGCTGTAGTACACATTCTGTAAGGGATGTAAAAACTGAAGTAAACCTACCAGTAGTTACTTGTAATTTCATAAATTTCAACTTACAGCACCCTTAGGCAAGGTTTGGAGTTCACCCATGATATCCCCCTTGCCCTGACCCCTTTACAAACACAGTAAACAAAACAACCCCCCCCCCCCCCAAAAAAAAAAAAAAAAAAAAAAAAAAATAGAAGGCAAAAGCAAAGCCTAAACAAACTTAAGCACCCTTCAATTTATAAAACATTATTTTATAGGCTTTCAATGTATACTTGTTAGCATGAACCAGAGCCCATTTTCATAAAATCTGTTATCAATAACAATTTACAATAACTGTTATAAGCTACTGAAATCGTGGCATTTGATTGGCTGAGGGCAAGATTATCATAGAAATTTAGCATTTGTTCTTGATAACAAGTTTTATGAACAGGGCCCAGGACTCAAGTTGCAAAAAAAAAAGAGCAGCATTGTGATGGCAATACTCTACAAGTGCATAACACAAATATGCAACAATGATGATCTTTTCTGCCTAAAATCAGGTCTTGTGAAGTTGAAATGCGTGATTGCATAGCTAGCACTACACCAAAGTAAAGTGACAAACCTGACAGCGACCAAAGTATCATAAGCCAATTAACATTAACAAATCCCACTTGTTGAACAAAAACTGTGCAATCCATATTGCAATTCAGTTTCCACAACAGACAGCCTATTTAACAGGTATTGTGGTCGACAGAAATGAAAATTCTCTTCCTCAACAACATTAATCCATGAAATAAATGATTCATGAATCTAAAAAGGAAATCTTCAGAATATGTTTCTACACATAAGGAGGTGACGTGCGCTATTGTCTATGATGTAACATATTTCCAGGGGTCGGATAGGTACTAGTACATTATTTTTTTCTTCACACAAAAGCACCATGCATGTTCAAATCACAAGAATAATTAAAAAAAGATAAAAGAGAGAAATCGTGCTACTGAAATCACTATACAAACATCTGTCATTTCTACTTCTTAGAAACACACTCACACCAGCTTTACATTTATAGAGTATCTCTTCTCCAAGTTTTAGCATTATAATATATATTGAGTTCAATTTTCTTTACAAGTACATCCTCCAAAAACATCACAAGAGTTATTGAAGTCAGCATTGATCAAGACTGCTGGCAAGAATTAGATATGTTAAAGTATTGCGAGAGGAGAATATAGAGCTATTATGGTACAGTTTTCTATTTCAGGAGAAAAATATATTTTTTATATAGCAAAAGAGAGATGTCCAAACTCATAACCAAGCATTTTATTTCCTTAATTGTTGCCTTTCACCCTTCTATATCCGGAGAACCACCTTTTTCTCAAGTTCCCTTGATGACGATTGACCCCCCAAAAATGACCCCTTTAAAATGACCCTAATTACCCTCATAACTACCTAACCTAGGCCTAGGGTATCTAAATAAGGAGGGTTTTGTTGTTATGGGGTGAGGGGGGGGGGGGGGGGGGGGGGGGGGGGGGGGGGGGGGGGGGGGGGGGGGGGGGAGGGGTTGAAATTTTCCATAAGGTAGTTGTCTGGGGTGACAATAATCCAAGGGTTGTTCCCCAGAATCCTACTTGAATCTACTTTGATTTGCAGCATTTACTATTCATACACAACATTATATTTGGTTTGCTACTGTCACTTTTTTTTCTTTCTCTTTTTTAAAAGTGCAATACACATGTACTTTATTCAAACGATGTACACCAGTCAAGATGAGTTACTCTGGTTTGGTTATACAGGTAACATCAATTGTTAAAAAATATCATCTGATAAAAATCAACTTTTTGTAAATATCAGGATAAAATAACTGTATGCATACATAGAACACAAAGAGTATATTCTTCCCAAACGTTTTTAAGAAGAAAGAAAAACAGGTGAAGTAAAAGCTGGTGAACATCGAACTGTGTAAAAAACACATATAGCGATATGACTGTGTAAGCAAAGCTAATTCAATCCTGCATTTACCTGAATTTTTATGATTTAACTTCAGTTTTCTGTCAGTATCAATTCTAAAGAAAGCGAGACCGAAGCACCTCATATACAGAAACTAGGCAATGGAATCCTACAAATTCCTGGCTTGTTAAAAAAAGACTTCTCATTCTTCCAATCGGTAAAATCTCATAATTGTACACTTTCGTTCTGTACAGTGCATCAATACATACAAAGCAGTACGAATGCAGCAAAATATAAGAGAAGCTTTTTTCTCTAAATACATAAAAGAAGCAAAATATTTGCTGCATTTGTAACTACAGAGAGAAAGAACACCTTAGTTGTATACCTGTTGTACATTTACACCAAAATTACATAACTAAGTACAGCATTCTTTAATAGTAACACGAGCACCTTCCCATACTGATTTCTATTTAAAGCGATTTTGAAGAAGAACAAAGTGTCTTACAATTTGGTTTTAAGAAAGTCCTGAAGTTAATGTATGCCATACCTGCCTATTTCCTTTAAAACAACTTGCAATCAAGGTACTATTTCTCTTAAAGAGGATACATAAATACTAACCCTAGCATTTTTCAAATTCTGATCAATCCATCATTACTCTCAATGATATATCACAACAGAAGACACAAAACCTCTAACTGTACGTGATGCGATATTATAAACTTGCTTTGAGGCCACCCTCATATGAGACAAGAAAAGAAGGATTACGATCGCAATATTGGATGATATGTAAGGATGCGTTCAAGCGACACTTTAAGATCACCCTAGAAACCCTTTTTTTAAAGACGATTAGTTCAAAACACTGTTACATTCAAGCGATTTTTCGTCGGTCGTAAAAATAAACGTGTTTCAAAACGCAAACATAAAACGCTGAAAAAGATGCGTTTTGTATCGTGACTCTGCTGAATCACGGTCACTAAAAGTCGCTTGAACGCACCCTAAGTAAGCTAGGAGTAGAAATGTAATAATAATTGGACCGGCATAGGATTGGTTTAACAAGGCTGGCTACAAGGTTATCTGACCTCTGACCCCTGACCCCTACAATGGGCAAGAGGGTCCAGGAAGCCTGCTGGTTGGTTGGCTAGGTCACTGAGAACAGCTAGACATTCACCCTCAATCCTGCTCCCCTCCGTCTAGTTCGATCTTCAGAGCATTGCATATTTTTGTGTCCATTCTCTGGCGATCATATTATATTTGGTTCTGTCCGTCTTGTAGACGCGGGCGATGTCAGGTACCAGAGGGTCGTCAGGGTTAGGATCCGTTAGCAGAGAGCAAATTGACAGAAGAACTGGTAGAAGAAGGAAGAGAGAAATTCAGAAAATTAGATTTTCAATGATAAATACAATTCTCCCATGATAGATCGTGGAAGATATATCAAACATAACATACAGTTAACTCTGCAAAAACACAAGTACCGTACCTTTTCCCTAGGACGATTTTTTTTCTCAAACATTTTTTTACCCATTCAAGCATCCTGGGTGGAGTGTGGCAAATGTAGATTAATATCTTGTTTAAAGACATTAATGATATGGAGGGTCTCTATCTGCAAACCATGCAATCCATATGGTGATTGCTTGAGTGGATAATTTTCAGGGTGGGGGATGGGGGGGGGGTAGTCCTCAGGGGTAATTGTCCTCGGGGTGATATTCATCCTGGGGGTAATTTTACGGGGGGGGGGGGGGGGGGGGGGGGGGCGATTGCCCAGGGGGTAATTGTCCTAGAACCCAATTTTTGTTCTCATTTCATTTGATGTTGTGTCTGATTCAACCTCTAAGAGAGCTACTAGCTTGATAAAGTCATAAGATATACTGTGAAACCTGCGAAGTGGTCCATAACTAGGGGAAAAATAGGTCGGACTTGCCCTTACCTTTTGAGATGGTGAGTGCTGGCGACCACTGTGATCTGAGGATGTCTAAACAGATGCTGCCATTGCTGTTGATATTTGGATGGTAGATTTTTGTTGTAAATGATACCTGCAAGTAAATGTAAAGCAACATTTTTAGAACAGAGTTTACATAACAGCATTGCACACCTCCTGACACAATCTAACTAGTATTGTATTCATTTCATTTATTTCACTCTCCATAAAAATAATAATGAACATACAAACATGATATACATGATATAAAGATAAAAGGTTGATAAAAATTAAAAAATGGGAAGGAGCAATCAAATTTTTATGGGAATGTGGGGTATAAAAAAAGGGCAATTGGCATTATGAAGGTCAACTCCTTAAAGAGTATACACTGTATTGTTGAGAAAAGAAAAAGGAAAAGTAAAGCAGAGAAAATCTGAACCCCAATACAAAAGAAAACATAAGGGAAGGAGAAGGGAAGGGGATGGGGAATACATTACAAAGTGCATTTACTGAAGCGTTTTGTCATTTAATTTTAGATTGATTACAATGTTAAAAAATTGTAGAGCTAAAATGAAAAGAATTACACTCTTTGGCTGCACCTATTAGAAATCGTTCAATAACTCGTCGCCTTTTGATCAGGTTTGTTGCCAATTTTTCATATAATAGAATCATTTCATACAATAATTTAATTCAAGTTTTGTAGGTTATGCATAGTGAAATACATTGCACACAGTCATGTCACAGCAAAACAGAGGCAAACTTTTGTTTAACATCTCAAAATTGAATAGCAACTCAACTTGTAAAATTAAAATTGTTTTATGTCTGCAGTACTTACTTTTGGTGGTTTGAAAGGATAATCTGCGGGGAAGTGGATATTGAGATAAAACACACCACTTTCATATGCGCTGTTTGTTGGTCCCATAATCGTGGCTTGCCAATTAAATACTAGAACAAAGAAAAACAGACAACAGCATTTGATAATGTTCATCAGCCTTAGTAGAACTTGTAATATATAAATTCAGAATAGGAAGATAAAGACCAGCATCTAATTCAATGAAATCCTACAAAGTTGTAAATCTTTGGTTTATCTCTCCCCCCCCCCCCAACAATCAAAATAGATGACAGCAGAGCATATACTATACAATGTTTTCCATGAAATGCCTTTTACAATTCATACTCATCATTAGTGGTCAAATAGATTAGTAGGTCTCCAGACTGGACAGAATTTTATCTTTCAGAGTCAAGATTTATCCAAATAAAGTATCTTCCCAGCCAGATTGCTGAATTCTATCATTGTTTTACAGATAATTAAAAAAAAACAAGATTAATGATACACAAAAGTATAAAACAAAATCAAGAAATACAAATATAAATACAATTTGAGCAAATCTTAATCAATTCCGATACATTTCTGTAATTTCATTTAGCTGAATAAAAAATGATTCATGCAGGTTACACACAATTTACAAAAATTATTAATAGTGGGTAGGCTCAAGGAAATAATTTGGAAGAGTGAAATTTATCATAGAATAATTAATATTCATTGGATCTAGTTCATATTTAAGAAATTTTTAAAATAATACAAGTGTTTGGACAATATGAGGGTGAATATTTAAACAAAAGATAACGACATCACTTTAAAAAAAAATTGATTTTATGAACTTGGTTAACCGAATTTGATTAATATACAATATATAGTAGCTACTGTATGATAAGCTATTGTAAGACTCAGACAAGACCAAACTAGTCTGACATGACTGTTGACTTGAGCTGCACTGCTATATTTTACTACCAAGATGGCCGACAGTGACATGCAGTCCATAAAACAATAACAACCAATCACAAGATTGTACATGAAGTAAGTACTGTAACCAATAGAAAGCCTAAGGAAAGATAGAGTGCCATGTGTCTATAGTGAGCTTGAATAGCCAAGACATAGAAAGAGTGTGTTTGTGTGTGTGTGGTGCTATGGCAGGTAATGTTGAATGAGGATGAATGATTAGGGACAGAACAATAGAAGCCAAGAGCTTAACAGACATCTGATAATGAATGTAGGTCAGGAGTGTGCTGAAGCATAACAAAGTGGAAAGCTAAATGTAAAAGTTTGGATCAGTGAAATTAAAGATGAACGTGAGTTCTGGTAATGCGATTGCAAATGTGAACGAAAAGTGTGGAATGGATCAATAAAAGTTGACCATGTAGCATGTAAGTATTGGTGTGCACTGCAAGGTTCAGGAGTCATCAAAATCATAATAAATTTGGCCCAGTCTTGGTAAAGTAACAAGCACTGTACACAGAAAGATGTATATGGGACTACGCACACATGCGCGACATGTGCGTTTATCTCTCACACACCAATAGATAAACTAATTTATCAAATACATCAATTAGTAGGCGGTTTCCTGGCAAAATTGTTATCATCATGTATTAGTCAAAACATACTCTTTCACATGATAGGTAATAAGAGCTTCCATTTCATTTTTTGAAATTGGAGCATTTCCAATACTGGTCTTTACCTTTAAACTAGATACAGAAATATTGAAAACAAACTACTTACAGTCATCACTCACAGGACCAGCGGAGCATGCCGACGGAGGATCCATGTCAAAATCATGAAGTTCCTATCAAAACGACAAAAATATAAAGAGATGAAATGTCTATATAGTACAAGTATAAACTCAAACTCAAACTCAAACTCAAGTTGTTTTCTTTCTTTTCTCAATTTTGTCTTGTTCAAACATAATTTGATGTACATTTGTCAATAATGACATAATAAATTCAATTTAATTCATCAAATAACAGATGTACATTTACACTTGCAACTGCATCCATATCTTACATCAATTTTGAGCAAGTATGGTCACTTAATTAATCTACTACTTGATGATTTTCGATACCGGACACCCAGTAAAATGGCTGCTTATCTTCCAAATCAAAATGATATGAATCAAAATGATATGAATAAAAAAGTTATCACATTTTGTTGAGTTGACCTACCTACATGTGTTACCTGGCTGGAGCAACAAACATGTGAATAGTTCCATTGTTTTGATAATCCTCGCTAAATACCATAGATTCACCGCTTCAAAGTCGGTGGACTTTATTCATGGGTATTTCATTTGTATAGACCGTCTGACTATGTCACCAACTTTTCAAGACCGTATCAGGGCAATTACCCCCACCCCCCCCCCCCCCCCACAACCAAGGACAATAATCCCCCAAGGACTATAACCCCCAAAGGACAATACCCCCTTCCCCAATTGCAATGGTACCCCTAAAACAATCACGCCCTGGAAAATGACCCCCCAAGGACAACTCCCCCTGAAAATTACCGTCTAACCCCCCCCCCCCCCCCCCCCCCCCCCCCCCCGCCTGCACACACATACACACACCTGAAATTTACCACCTAATATTAATTACCACACGAAGGACAACCAAAGACAAGTAAAGGAAACCAAAGCATTGGGTCTATTCTAGTTGTTATCATGTTTATCTAGATCACTAACAACATCACCATCCATGCCATGATCACCACGCAACTTCAAGTTCATGACTCAGACTCGTCAGAGACTGCACTTCAGTCTTCACAAGAATGACATAAATTCAATACTGAATGAAGACGTAGGCCTACCTTTGTTATTCTTTTTAAAGCCATTGCGGTGTACAATAAATATACTTTGTGGAGAACGTAAAAAGCACAAAATGCTTAAATACTAGCAGAAGTTGATCATGGAATCTTGGTTAGAGGTTCTCTCTCACGTTAAAAGCCTGCGTTCCACTTCAATGAATAATATTAATGGGGAATTCGCATGCGACAAAAACATTTGCACAACACACGTAGTACTGCTAGCTGTATCTAGCTCTATGTACAAATGTACAGCACGGGATTCGAGAAGCGCGCGCGCGCGCTCCGGACGATGGCGTAAAAACTGATAGGTCACAGTCATAGAGATATACTACCAGCAATATGGTCACAGTAAGTACGCAGGCAATGAATACTCTCGATCATAGAGATCTATATACAGAATGTTCTTATATAGATCTCTATGCTCACGATTCACTCGCAATGACTTTGATCCCATGCATGTAACCAGTGGCGTAATGAGTAAAAACGTTTGGGGGGGCTGACAAAAAAAAAAATCCGCATCATCCCACTATAATTAACATGCAGGCCCCGTGAACGTTTCGCAAAGTGGGGTAAACCCGGGGCCAGGAACTAAGTTATTTTTCAGTTTCCCCCCTCCCGCGCGAAGCGCGAAAACTTTGATACTTCATTAAAATATTGAGTATATGTGCACTGCGACGATTTATTTTCCATGATAACAATATTGTAGTATACTATTAATATACATACATGTATTAGTTACTCATTATATTGAGAAGCAGTAGAAATACTCCACCCGCAGTCATCAAATTAAAAAATGACAGCACATGAATAGGTTTCTGAAACTTGAATCGAATTCCATTCATAACATGTAACACAATGGTATGTAATACCAGCCTAATTCAATAACATACCCTCTTTATAAAGACAAAGAACGAAGCTGAAAAAAAAGAAGAACTCTATATTACTTGATATACATTCACATTATATAGCCCATACTGATCCAATATTCTGCTGATATTTTAAACAATTTTCGAACGTCAATCTTTATGGATAATTGTCGATAAATACTATACCATCAGCATTGCGAAATAGTTTTGTGTACAATTAAACCTACATTCTTATCCTACACGACACTCATCCAAGCTCTATTTAAATAGCACAAAAAATAGTATGGTTTAAAGATCGATTAGATGCCAGGGTCCGGAATTTTGGATGATTTACCTGACAACATTGACCATTTTGCATCTCTTCATTCATTTAAAGCCTCGATGAAAAAATATCCAATATCCAAATATCCATGAACATTAGTATGGGTCTTAACAATTTTATACCATTGTTTGTTTTTATAAATTAAATTAAGATGACCAATTCATGAACAAAACGATTCGAACTCTTCACTTGTATACACCCACAGGCACACACTTGCAATTTTCTTTTTCTTTTTTCTTCTTTCCTCCACCTATTTAATCATATACGTTTTGAAGAAAAAACGCAATTCTTTATACGTGACACTTCACTTTCCTACCTACTCGCATCATGTGCACCCCCCCCCCACCTCTAGCTGATATCGACTCTGCATTTATCTTGATTCTTTAATTTACCTCCATACTTTCAAGTTTTCAATAATATCTATGAATTTTTCTGTTTTTGAGTTTTCACATTTTATGTCAATCAATTCTACTTTTATATCATTATTGTCCTTGGAATATTTTTGTATTTGATTTTCAATAAATGCAGAGAACATCTGCTAAAAAAAAACTGTACAAGCATTACGTCATTAGATAGCCTATGCGATATCACACGTACCACTCAGACTTTTCCACACAAAATATCTAAGGCTTTCGTTTTAACAGAATGATAATTGTATTGCACTTCGATGGAGTCATAAGATCATGAGTTTGAATCCTTTGACAAGACATATAACTACACTACTATGTACAGGCGCGGATCCACGGGCCGATTCTACCGGCCCAGGCCCCCCCCCCCCCCCCTAGCCTCCCAAACCGGTAAAAATAAATAGGATAGTAACGTAAATTTTACCATTAAAAAAAAAGCGACCCCCCAAAAAAAAAAAAAAACAAAACAACAAAAAAAAATCTCAAGATTTGCCCCCCCCCCCCCCTCTTATGGTGCCGGCTGGATCACATATGGGTCTTTACTGTTACACTATAATGGACAGATTGGATAGATGTGTAAATCATTGAAATTATAAGCAATATACGATGCGAAAATGATTCTTCTCCAACTTCCGGATACCAACCTAGGAATTGTTGTTCCGTCCTATACGGGACGCAATTACTCACTGCTTTTTACAAAATTCATGCGTGAGATTTGGTTATTTGGTGAGTCCAGGACGCAATAACGCAACTTTCAGCGACACTTGCTTATACATGTATAATTTTATATTGCTCTAAAAAACAATTATGCCATAATATGTGAGGGGAAGAGATGATTCGGTATTCGCTTGTTTTATATTTTAAACATAATTTTTATTTTCACCTATAAAATTTACTCATGAAAATAAATGGTCAACATTAAATTGTTAGTCTTTAGCAAGTGTCTCATTTGAATAAAATATTGCTTCAGACCATGATGTACGTCATTCAACAAAAATATTGTGACCTGCCAGTGACAAAAATGCGGCATCAAAATATTTGTGCTTCTCTGACCGTAATTAAATGCCTAAAACCCCTGAGCTTCCAGGGGCTCCGCCCCCTAAACCGGCCCCCACACCAATTTACGCTTCGCTCGCTACCCTCTCTCTATTACCTGATCGTAAATACTTTAGGCCCCCACTTTGATAAACATTCCGCGGGGCCTGTGTATATAATATATACGCATACAACACTGATCTTTATGATGTCTTTAACGTGACATATCTTCTTCTCCCCTTGCAAACGAGAAAGAAAACAAGGTCATTAAAAGGGATTAAGCGACAAATAATGATTGTGATTCAAATTGATGCGAATATTTGTTTGAATAAGCAGCTGCTATTCACCAGAATCTTCTTTGTAAAAAAACTTTTACAAATCTCAGCCATGCTTACTGAGTTGAGACGTTCCATTCAATTTAACACTTCTCCTAATCTGAAAGTGATCTTACAACACAGTGGCAGAATTGCATGGCTGAGATTTGTAAAAGTCGTTTTTACAAAGAAGATTCTGGTGAAAAGCATTGCTTATTCAAAAAAATCCTTGCATCAATTTGAATCACAATGATCTTTTTGTCGCATGATCCTTTTATTAAATAACCTTGTTTTTCTTTTTTATTTGCAGGGGGAGAAGAAGCTATGTCATGTTAAGAAATCATAAAGATCAGTTGTATTATGCGTATATACATATGAATACAGAACAAAATATTGATTATCAGAATGTCATTTTGGAATACCTTTATAAAAATACCCGATCTTACTGTGCCGATACCACATTGTCTATAGCCCTTATCAGTATTAGTATGATGATGATGATGATGATGAACAGCATTTCAGTATAATGCTTTTCCTCAAAAACAGTTTCGCTATTTTTTTTAGGGTTGAGACGCTAAGAAATGGTTTCAAATGTACATTACACAAACCCTGAACCATTGCATACTGATGGTGGTTCTCTCTCTCTCTCTCTCTCTCTATTTATTTTAATCATGCATTATCAACTACATAGAAAGCAGCAACAAACAACTTAGGGTTATCTGGGATAGGTGAAAGTGAGAGTTAAAAAGAAAGTCATGTAAAAATGGCATTTCACCTCCCCCCCCCCAAAAAAAATGTTCCTCCTCTACAGCATCCAACCCCCCCCCCCCCCGCTTATTCACCAGCAAAATTTTTCCCCCCAAAACTGGACCCCCTCCCCCCAAAAAAATGTGCTCTTACCAACCCCCCCCCCTCCCCCGATCATTTGCCGTTCACCGGTGGCTGATTCGCCGCTAAATATTTTCTCAAGATTTGGGCCCCCCCCCCCTCTTGCCGCCGGCTGGATCCGCCCCTGACTATGTAAAGCGAAAAGAGATTTAATGAGTTTAACGCGCTATATATAAGAATGTACTTTTTATTACTATTAAGCTCTAAACATGATTTTCGATAGCGACATACAGCTTTGGGCGATTTTAATTATCTTATACGTCACATTTTGAAATGATTGACCTTTCGAACAGTACAATTACATAATACATAATGAGAACATGATACCGATAGGCAATTTAATATACCCTTTATTTGATTTGTCATAAGTCCTTCTGATCTTGTTACTACTTTTGAAACTCTAGGCCCAGGTGCAATAAGTGGACACCTGGTACGGCTTAGGGCAATCGGTATTTTATTGGAGAACTTTAAAAAAGCCATGTGTGTGGTGAATATGCCCGCTATTATAACGATTATTAATATCATCATCATCACCATCGTCATAATGATGACCTATAAATGATACTTTTTGAAGGCCTAAGAATGAAATCTAGTTTATCATTAAACCTCACAATCAGAGAGCCCTGACTTTTTGGTTACATCGAGAGCTTTTAACATGTAATTTTGTGTTACCTTTGATTTCCATTGTCATAAGTGGCTTATGCATCCGCAGGAGATTTATTTTCTCTCATGTCCATGCTTAATAAGTCTATTTTATACAAATATTTGTGATATTTTATGGTTTGTAAGCTTTGAAACGATGGGAAATTTGTATACTATTCCATCCAATCCTCTACTTCTCAATTCCGCGTTAATACGACAATCATGATCCTAATAATGTAAATATCAAAGAACCCCCCTCCCCCGCGGGTCGCGATTTTATTTTCTTCTAGCAGACTTGCGCCATCGACGAGAGAGGGTGTTCATCGCTATAACATGTGGCAGTGGCGTAATGAACAAAAACGTTTGGGGGGGGGGGGGGGGGGCTGACAACAAAAATCCGAATCACCCCACTCTAACATGCAGTCCCCGCTGAACGTTTCTCAAAGTGGGGTCTAGGGGTAAAGCCCCGGCGGGGGTCAAGGGGCGGATCCCCCGAAGCTCAAGGGGTATGGACATCAGTGGCGGATCCAGGAATTTCTTACCGGCGGATCCAGGAATTTCTTACCGGCGCTTCCTGGAAAAAAGAGGCCTTCTTGAATTTAGACAAGAGTAAGAGTAGAGAACGGTACAACGAATCGTCTTCTTTCTCTAATAATTTAATGAAACGGCAAAGCTTCAGCGCTTCGCGCGGGAGGGGATTCGTTAGTAGTTAGAGAAAAGTGATCTGTCACGTCGTT